TGTTAATATGATTACATTAGTCATCTTATTCGATTAATGCTAATATTTGTAAATCTCGTCAAGTATTCATGATTATAATTTATGTTAACAACAAATCAACTTCCTTTCATAGTTCAGGTGTCGGTTATACCATACAGTATGAACTATGAAAGTGTCAAGCATTTGTTGTACCAAGTGTTATACAACATAAATCAAGATTAGTCATTTAACAAGCAAAGTATTAAAGAGTGAACAAGATAACAAATACAAAACATGTCAGTATTAAACATTAAAGTCCATATTGAGTTTACATTATACTTATTCTTACACCATTAATGTAACATTTTCACATTGACATAATAAACTTAGCTAAACATAATGAAAGAAAGAAAAATAAATAAACAAAATAAGAACATAAATAAGATAAGAGTTAACCAAGTAAAGAAAAAGAAATGAAAGACATAAACTTGATATTAATAAAAGCAAAGCATAAACATTACAAAAAATACAATGAGAGAAAGCAAGAGCATGATCTTGATTTGGAAACCAAGATGCCTAAATGCATGGTAAATGCCTTTTTTTATAGGCCAAAATTGGAAACTATTGATTTGATGATTAATTGATGAGTGGGTGACCAACTCTTGACTTGGTAACAATCCTTATCTTCTTTTGTCTGCCCAAAACGTCATTGATAACGTCAAAATTGGAACCACTTGAAAACATGAAAGTTGTAGGAAATTATCTCAGCTTTTTTGTGTAAAAACTTCAGCTTATTTGGACTTCTATAACTCCATATATGGGCCAAATACTGAATAGTGTTCGGACTGGAAGACAGATTCAGACTTTTTTGTTGTTACTACAATTTGGATTTGAAAACGACCTTTTTAAGTCTTGAGCTCCATATAAAAGTTATAGGCCTATGTCTTACCTTTCCATCCATATAAAGTAGACCTAAATCTGAGATCTACAACTCTAGATATGACTCAATTACCGAATAGTGTTCTGGTTTGGATTGCACGGACATCTCTTTTCTAAGTTTAGTCATCTCTTTGTCCTTTCAATTTCAGTTCTTAAATTCATCAATCAAGCCTTTTATTTATGTGATAGGCCTGTTTTTAGAATGAAAATTTACCACAAATTAAAGGTATCTTATATTATTATAAAACATGCTTTAGTTAAGGAGTTATTGATACTTCAAGTGCAAAATGATGTCATAAAACCTTGATAAAAATACACTTTTAAGTATTAATCACCTCTCTTAACCTTTTATTAACAAATCAAAATTATTGTCATCTACTCTTGTCGTCTCTATCATCAAAGTTCTTCAATTATGTTCACTTCTCACTTAAGTAAAAGTTTGCTCATCTAATAAAAATGGTGTCTATTAAAGAATGCTTTGGTAAACCTAGTCAAATAGTCATCTAAGCCATTTAAAAAGGTATAGATTTGATCTTTTTGTACTCATTTATTGTACTTTTTAAAAAAAATATATTTATCATAGACTATAATGTTCAAGTATTTGAAATCAATCTCTCTTGCTTGGGATTTTGGAATCTAATATAATAGTTCTCAAAAGACCCATTGCTATATTTAGCTTGACTAAACTTTCTTTTTAGACCATACATTTAAAATACATCTCTTCCATCAAAATAAATTGTTGCAATGACATCCTAATATCCTTTAGTTAGAGGAAAGCGGATGAAGTTTCCAATTAATTGTAGAAAAGTGAATGAAGTTTTCCAATATCTTTTAGCTATAAGAAAATAAACGAAATTACCCCATGTAAATTTTTTACTTCCCAGAGTATTTTAGTCGTTTCAATATATATTTTAAATGAGAAAAGACTTATTTATTTCTAGTTAATTTGATAATAACCAATAAACCTTGTAAAAAAAACTTGAATACTCTAAATAATTAGTGTTAAGTTTTTTGAATGAAGTAAAACTATGAAAACTAAATAATTTTTTTACTTTAGCTAAAATCTTTCATCGATTAGCTTTTGTAAATTTTAATTTTAAAATTAAATAATAATTTGTTTTTGATTAATAAATGCATGGGTAATTTGTAAATTAAGTGATATCAATTATTTTTTAAATTATTTTTTACTTAAAAATATATCAAAATAATATATATTTTTATATTTTTTAAAATTTATTTTCAACATTAATACATTAAAATAATTCAAAATCTTTAAAATTTAATTTTAAACAAAAATATTTTTAAATTTTAAACAAACTGATGCCACACGCGCTCTAATAACGCAAGCAAAGTCCAGCAGCTGCGAGTTATCGGGTTCTATAAATACACCCACCCATCCTCGTCTATAAATGTCATCTGTCTCCCTTGTTCCCTATCTTCCTTTGAATCTGTTTTTCAATCCTCCAATTTCCCTCCAAAAATATTACCCTAAACCCACCAAAACCCTAATTTTTCTATTCCTCCCTCTAGGTTTTATCATAATAAATCACTCTTCACTTTTACTCTCTCAATTCTCTAATTAATTTGTGGGTTTTTCATTTCTCTCTTTCCTACAATTCATTGCTTCTTTTCTAGAGTAGGGTTTTCACTTTCTGTTTGATTCCTTAGAAAATTATAGCAGAAAGAAAGAAAACAAGATTTCCCTTATCTTATGATTCTTTCCACGTCGGGGTTGAAATGGCCGTGTATTCGGAAAAGCCCTAATGTTTCTTCTTTTTTGACACGATGGTTCAAATATGAGCAATGGAGGTGAAGATAATACACCGGGAAGACCCAAATCCGATGACTTTGGCCGCGCTGTATTAAGAATGGCAGTGGCTCAGATATGTGAGAGTGCGGGCTTTGATGGGTTCAAGAAATCTGCTCTGGATTCTCTCAGTGATGTCACAATCCAATACCTCTGTGACCTAGGCAAGACTGCAAGCTTCTACGCCCACTTATCAGGTAGAACCCAATGTCATTTCTTTGATATGGTTAGAAGTTTTGAAGATATAATAATAGGAGCTTCACAAGGGTTTTTAGGTGCGTCCAGTTCTGATAATTGTCTACTTAATTCTGGTACGATTAAAGAACTTATTGATTTTGTGGGTTCTAGTGATGAGATTCCATTTGCGCAACCAGTGCCAAGGTTTCCTGTTATTAGGGATAGAAAGTCAATTCCTACTTTTGAAAAAATGAGTGAAGTTCCGCCTGGGAAGCATATTCCGGCATGGTTGCCAGCTTTGCCTGATCCTCACACGTATTTGCATACACCTATGTGGAATGAGAGGCTTGTAGATCCTCGTGCAGAAAAGATCGAGCAAGCAAGACAGAGGAGAAAGGCAGAGAGGGCTTTGTTGAGTTTGCAGAAGAGGTTGTTGAGTAATGGCTCAGCAGGGGCTTCATCCTCAGGTATTAGTAATAATGCTAAAGAGTCAGGAGTAGTTGATAGTGACCAGTTTCTTGCCATGCCATCGGAGTCTGGGAAGAAGGATGTTTCTCCAGTTGTGTTGTCAGATAAGCTAAAAAACCATATTTCTGTAATGCAGGCATTTGCACCTGCTATTGAAGCAGCAAAAGAAGGTGGAATTTGTGACGATGGAGATTTTGAGAGGAAGACACTTCCGGAAAAAAGACCTGTGATTTTTAAGTTTAAGTCTGGAAAGAAGTTGTTTGGAGAGTCTTTGGATCTTAGTCTTTTGAAGAAGGGTGGGAGGAGAAAAGGGCATTGGTTAGGGCGGGATGACGAGAGGGATGACAAGAAGAGGAGAGCAGAGTATATACTTAGGCAGTCAATGGAAAACCCTCAAGAACTAACACAGTTGTAAACTAATTTCAAGACTGACTGGCTAATTCAGAAGAAGGGGCTATTGGTTCACTTATTATTTCAGGGACATATTTTTTGTCCCTGCACAGATATTATGAGATTCTTATTGAGTATCCCATGCAAACTATAACAATTTTTTAGGTATGTGAATGCTTTTGCTTATGTTACTTTAGCTTTAGTGTCAAGTGATTCTTTGACAGTGAATATTGTGCTTCTTTGTTCCGTCATTAGATGTTGTATCAGCATTGAATTTTATTGTGGGATGGACAAAATGTGCTCTTTGATTCTGGCCAATATCATCTGGACATACAACAAAAAGATAATATTTAGGATACCGTGCATTTCCACATAAGCACCTTAATGTCATTGCAAAATTTTATTATGAGGTGGTCTGGATTGTTGGGACAACCAGACCATACTGATGTGTCATGTTGTGTTCGAGAACAATTTTGTTTTGATTGTGTCAAATAACCTGGGGATGGGAAGTCGCGCCCCTAGACACAACAACGGGTGCATCTTCACAATCATAATCTTTTTGTTATAGAAATAGAATTAAGAGATAATTGATCGTGTGTTTGCTGAAACAGTTACCCTATTTTGTCAGGTTCTTACATTTAGAGTATAGAGTGAGGTATAATTCAACGCCTTTATCTTCTCGAGTTGCAGATACAGTTGCTTTTCGTTGCAATCAACTATATTGCTGCAGCCTCTGAATAGTAATTTTCCAACTTTTAATTAATGATAAATTTTTTCTTAATTTAATCAGCTGTAAATTTTAATCATTTTGGAAGTTGAATCTCTTCAGGTCTGCCGCTTTATAATAACCTTCAGGAAGTCGATCCATATACAGTGAAAAAAGGCAAGAGACACCGCCTAGTGCATAAGCTATCGTAGCTTTTGCTTTGACATACAGCTTCCGTTATCTGGCTTCAAAGCTATAATCGAGTTGTTAACGATGGAAAAACTACCAGCTCATGCAGCAAAGTGAAAGGATATCAGAATCAAGAAACATCAATTTAAATGCAGAGAAATTCTTCCATTAGAAAGAGCCGAGAAAGCCATGTTTTTTGAGCAGGATGGCGCCACAGTCCATTCCACCAGTCATCAACACCATGCTGGGACGATATTAACCCATGCATTTACAATGCCACTCCGTTGTTCTCTCATGTGCAAACCTGTTGCAAGAGGATAGAGCTACCACAAACAGCATCCCATGCCACATTTTGATTTCTCTGCATATCACCCTAGTAAAAACTCCAGTGTAATTGGACTGATCATTAACACATAAAAGTGAAGTCAGGGCACCACAAAAAGGCCCTGCTCAGATCCAAATACAAAACTCAAATGCTAAAGATGCAAAACAGATAACCCAGTTCAAGTTACATGACCATGATGAACAGTGATGATGAATATAAGACCAATACAAATCCAAAGGGACGATCATAATTATGTAATCCTAAAACCTTGACAGTAGCCCTGTTGAGTTGATGAGCTTCTCTTTCGGAGTGCTAATTTGATTGAGAAACAATAGCCTACTCAAATATGTTGGAAATGAATCTTCCATTGCTTTAATGACCTTAATGTTCAGATTTCATGTTGATTTCTGGAACAAGTACTTTTCCACGATGGTTGAAGATTATGAAATCCAGGTTGTCTGGCAAAGAAACCATCCTGCATTGAAGAATATATGAACAATGTCAATGGCCCGTTATAGTGTAAAAACAGCATTAATAATAATCATATTTGGTGTAATTCAGAATCAACAAAACTAAAGCATGCCCTCTAAGGAACATGAAATTTGACATGGGAAACTTGACCATCTTCAGCCTACCACCAAGTCTGGGCTAGACATATGCGGAGTTGATTGCCATTGTAAGTTGTAGCTAACAAAATTGTGAAGAAGTCAGATTTTTCAAGACGGTAGTGAGCTGCTTTGGCCTTCAGACTGTCTTTTTTCTCATGGTCAAAAAGACCAGAGGTAATTGTTCCCTGTGTTACATGCTTCATTGTTCAATGTTCATCTTTTACCGTGCTAATTAAACTATTCACCAAATCCACCAATTGAACACGATCTTCAAGCAATAAGTAGCAAGATAACACAATCAACTACAATGTCACATAACAAAATAAGTGTCCAGGAAGAGAACACAATCAATTTAAATAAAACCATCTAAATGATGGAAATCTATAGGGGATAATCTGTTCCACTAATCAATGAGAACAAAAGCGCTAACAATGGCTCCTTAACTAACAAAGTTTTGGAACACATCCAACGTAGAATGAGGAAAAAAGAACTGCTATCTTGAACCATCCAAACCATAGGATGAGGTCTTTCCCATGGTTTCAGGAAACAAACAAAAGTCAGAAAACAAGGCTGACATGGTCCAGTCCTTACACTGACTTGGCTTCTCTACGTTTTGTTTTCTTCTTTTTTTTTTCTTTTTTTTTCTTTTATTAATCATGTTTTCACCTATTACCTGAAACAACAAGCCTATGTCTAATAAAATTCACATCAATCTAGCCTAAAAACAATAGTAGTAAGCCTAGAGGCCCCATTGCCATGGTCAAGGCATGGTCAAGGCTTAATAAAAATAACAAGCCCTCTTCTTGCATATCAAGAAAATTTTAGTTTAATTTAGTCCCTTGTAAAGTGAAATCTTCAGTCAAACAAACTTACATTTACATGCACATGATTACGCCTGCAAGGGCACACTGTAGAGCAAACTTATAACTTGACAATGAAGAAATGGTAGTCTATAGTTCAATCTAGAATTCCTGGGAAATTAATCATAAAGTCAGAATGTGTTCAAGCTATATGAAGGTACAACACCCCACTTAAGGATTCTTAAGGATTTCTATATGTTCCTTAATTATCAAGTCATGATCTACAAGATACAAAGACACTGTCCAGCTGACCAATTAATTGACCCTTGATTTACTACAAAGTATGCTTATCATGTGGCAAGAATCAACAGAAATAGCTTAAGGTGCAATTGAGAGTATTTCTGTACCATTAACATTACCAGACTGGGATAGGAAATTTAAACAGCCTCTTCAAAATCCAGATACTGATAAGTCAGAAGCGATAAAACCATTCCATGGTTTATCTTACATTTCATTCAGGAAAACTCATGACCATCTTGTGAATTAAAAAGAGGAAACTTCCCTTAAAACATACGGAAACTACATAAATTATATCTAACCTAAGTTTGCCATGATCAATAAAAAGTGAATGACAACACTGTACATCAGATGCTGCAAAGAGCAATTTTACCTGATTACCTCATTAACTAACTCAAATATACTCACAACTGCTGTTAGTAAATCAGTCTTTATTTGTTTATTTTTCTCAATTTCTTAAAGAGCAATCCGATTACTTGACAGTGAATAACTCATTTTCTATCGGCCCAAAGTCAAGTTATATAACCCAATGAACGATCTACATATTTGAGTTGGAAAATGAATAGACAGAAATCCCAATAGACGAAATTGAGAGATATAAAAATAAAGACAAAGAAAGAATGAGTTACCTATTGTCATCAGAATGAGGATGAATAGAGAGAAAGATGCCAGGCACAGTTATGGCTGCCCACGTACACAAAACCAGCCCCACAATCAACTCCACCACCACCTGCATAAACATCAACACACAGCCAAATAAGAGATTTTTTCTTAAAAAAAAAAAGTCACCAAAAAAGAGAAATAGAAGGAAAGGAAAGGGAAGGGAAGGGAAGGTAGAGAAAGAGATAAGATACATTGAAAGGAGGTCCAGAAAAGTCATCCTCTGTAATCTTCAACAAACCCTTATCTGAATCACCACCACCATAAGCACAAATAAACAGAAATAACAAAAAAGAAGAACAATAAAAAAAAAAAGAAGGAAAGATATAAGAAAGAGAGAGGGGGAGAGAGGATATGAGGCGCATACATTGAGTAGTTGAATAAGCGGCATGAAAGAGAATTAAAACTCCAACAAATCCAATAACAAATCCTACCGAAAAACCCATTTTATTTTTCTATGTTAGCCCAGATGGCTTGCTCCTCCTCCTCGTGAAGCAGACAAATCAGTCAGTGACAGAGAGGAAGGGTTTCAGTCTCAGATTTGAGCGAGTTCCATACATTAGCCCGCCGTTACTGCCCGATTCCCAAACATCCCCCCGCCGTTACTTGCTGTCGCGGCAGGAATTGTGTTTTTTTTTTAATTGATTTTTGTTTGGAAATATATAAATATAATATTTATTTATTTATTTTTAAATTTTGTTTTTAATATTAATGCATTAAAAAATAAAATGATATATTTCAAAAAATATTTAATATTTTTCAACGGTTTTTTTTTTTTTCTCAGTTGCTGTCAAACGACACGACGTTGTATTTGAAGAAGATACGTTAAATATAAAGCACCCTTTTTAACACTTTGCGTAAATACGCACCGTATTACGCTGTTACTTCTTAACATCGCACCTACAATAATAAACGCGTCCTTTTCCTTCAAGACGAGCAGAGAGCATACCTTTATAGAAGAAGAAGATAACGCAGACAGGCATGCCATGGTGCTGTGACCCTCATCTCCTTTTCTATTTCTTGAAGGTAACCCCCTTTTTCTTTTTCTTTTTCTTTTTCATTTTCTTTCTGGGTTTCTGCTTAAACTACTGAAGTGTTTTTTTTTTCCATGTTGGATTCAAGTGTTCTTACAAGCGAATAAACAACATTTTCAATGATAAGTGAAACACTGGTGTCTTTGACTATTGTAAACAATCCAATTATAGGGATTGGATTTTTGAAAAATAAATAAAGAAACCAAGATAGTTCAACTTAATTCTTTTGTACTCTTATATTTAACTTTCTGTTTACAGTTGCTCGGTTAGTTAATATAGAGGCGGCAGCAAAAGGAGGAAACATGTTTCAACTTCTAAATTCAGTGGATGGAACTCTGTCCTTATCAAACAAGTTAACGTTTTATGCTTTTCCTACCAAAACATCGGAGTTTCTTCATCCAAAATCCTCTCCATACCTCGTAAACAAGACTGCCAAACGTTGGAGATTTCGTGGTGTTCGATTATCCTTACGAGGTTCCTAGCCTTTTTTCGAAAATAAAAAATAAAAGCACGATTAGTAGTAACATTTTATCTTTGTTTCTTCTCACTGTCTGATTTTTCCTGTTCAAGTTTAATTTAATGATCTTGGCAGGTGGTTCAGAGGCAGCAGATCATGTCAAAAGCTCTAACAAATTTAAGGTACCAAGAAATCTGGCTGACGTTCCCTTATCGGCAGGTGCTGTTGCTGGAATGGGGCTAGTTTCTAAGAATTAGCTTTTCCCTTTTCTTTTCTTTTTTTTTTTTTTTGTGGATAGTACTGGTAATTATATTTTTAATCTGTTGCAAGTACAGTAATTCTTTTATGTGCCTGAACATATTGATGGTTCAACAGGAGTTAAAAATATAAGTCATTGTATGTCTAATTGTAAACTGCATTGGATTCTCATCAGTTGATCATCATTGAAAGGTTAAGTTGGTGTACATTATCATCAGACTTTTATATCATTAAATTAGGATGATGTAGCCAAAACTGGAAGAAGTTGTGTATTTTCTTTGTGAAGCCTTTTCCATCGGTGTTTTTTTGGACAAGAGCATTACTATCCCAACAATCCACCTCATAAAACTGGTGTGTTTGTAGTCATGAAATTTTAGTTGGCATTCC